TCGTTCAATGTAACTTGTAGCAATGCCATCTGAAGAGAAAAACAAACATAGTAATTATAATGATAGTAACTTGCAGCAATAAACATGTCACCAATAAAGATCCAGAAGCTGATGCTTATTTATGATGATTTTTTTTCATTTTAAAATGTTTGACATTCAGTCACCTTGTATCTGATCTTCAAATGAGTACTTGCTCTGGAAAAGCATTAATGAAAGCAAAATGGCCACTGGTTGGCTATTTTAAATACATCTGTATATCTATGACATGATGTATAATGAATCTATAAAATTTGAACATAATCAGTCAAAGCATGTCTGAGATATGGCACTAGAACTGCATTCATTAAAACAAAATGGCCACCACACAGCCATTTTAAATCTGATCTGAAAAACAAAATGTTGCGCATCAAGGTCCCATAATGTCCAATTCATGTATTAAGTGAATCCATCTGTAAACATCAAAGATCTGGTTCAGAAATACCAGAAATGCTTGATTTTGATGATTTTTTAGTACAAAAATTGCCGACATGTCAGTCATTTTGAATCAGATCATCAAACCAATTGATCGGTCCAGGCATGCCAAAATATGGGTCTATAACTTGTTCCGTTTCTAAAGCCCTGCAGAATGTTATTATTATGATGGTTATTCTCATTGCATATGTGAACAATAGAGCAGCTGGTGAAGAATGGTGCATCATGGGAGTAACATAGTTGCCTCTTATGTGACTAGGTGATTACTTACATGGTTTTCTTCACACAAATATGCAATATTAAACTGTGCTACTTCCAGCCCAGATTCCGCTGCCATCAGGTAATATACATAAGCTTCAGACCTAGCATAATAATGTATTACAGTGTAGCTGTAAGTATTGTGATTTTGAATAAAACCATGCGTCAATGATATTGTGGACAACAACATACCATTTCAATTCATTTTGACATATTTAAATTTAAACCCGAAAAACCCCCCTCGAAAAAGTGAGCAACTGACAATTTTAGTTCACCATATGACAGATTGAGGTGAATATTGTGTCTTTTGAGGGAAAATAAAACTACAAAATTAGTTGCATTTTTACAATGAAGAAACAGAAGTGAAGTGGTCACAAAAATGTGCACATATTATTACAATATAAATTATGTACCACCCAAATTCACAAGGATGAAACACCATCAAAATATTCATCATTATATCCATTGATGTCATAAACCAACCAGAATACTGTATTGTACCGATGCTTTTCTCTGAGAATTTCTGTAGGCATTCTTGGTAACGCAATGTGGAAGGGAATTACCAATGTCAAAGTACGAACTGATTTCGGTGAAAAAATGGCATGATTGTTTTTCAATCTAGTAATTAGCATTTTTTGAAAGGTAATATGGAATAAAGTATTTTACTGTCTTTAACATTTGTAACAGGTCATTGTCAAGGCGTAGTGTACGCACGGTTACGCATTCACAACATATTCACGGTGGTTGATATCCATGCTGTATTATATAATTATGATTACATTGTACCAGTATTCGGAAAGGTCAACCAATAATGAGAGACCAGGTCAAATTTGGGGCATTTTGGTGGGGCAGAATTACAAGATCAAGATTTTGTATCTAGATGACTCACCATGATTGCTCAAGATATGCTTTCACACCTTGCTTTAATAAGCTACCAATTTCTGGACTGTGGTGCTCAGCAATATATTTAGCCCACCTAATGAAATAAAAAAAAGTTGTTAGTTACTGTCATTGCTTACAGGAATAATGAATAAAATCAGTAAAACAAGAAAAGCAATAAAACAAATCACATACAAGTCAATTCACTGACAATTCAAACATAAAACATCGAACAGATAGTCCACTATTCCTATTATTCCAATCTGATCCTAATTCTAAACAACTGATCACAACCACTAATCTTATTCTACTTATCCTAAAACATCTGATTGCAATCAACCTCACCTAATCCAATGATTTAAATCTTCTGATACTAATCCACTGATCCCAATCTTCTGATTCTAATCCACTGATCCTAAACCTCTGATACTAATCCACTGATCCTAAATCTCTGATACTGATCCACTGATCCTAAACCTCTGATACTAATCCACTGATCCTAAACCTGATACTAATCCACTGATCCTAAACCTCTGATACTAATCCAATGATCCTGAACCCGATACTAATCCACTGATCCTAACCTGATACTAATCCACTTATCCTAAACCTCTGATACTAATCCACTGATCCTAAACCTGATACTAATCCACTGATCCTAAACCTCTGATACTAATCCACTGATCCTAACCTGATACTAATCCACTGATCCTAAACCTCTGATACAAATCCACTGATCCTAAACCTCTGACACTAATCCACTGATCCTGAACTCGATACTAATCCACTGATACTAATCCACTGATTCTAAACCTGATACTAATCCACTGATCCTGAACCCGATACTAATCCACTGATCCTAACTTGATACTAATCCACTGATTCTAAACCTCTGATACTAATTCAATGATCCTAAACCTGATACTAATCCAATGATCCTAAACCTCTGATACTAATTCAATGATCCTAAACCTCTGATACTAATCCACTGATCCTAAACTTCTGATACTAATCCACTGATCCTAAACCTCTGATACTAATCCACTGATCCTAAACCTGATACTAATTCAATGATCCCAAACCTCTGATACTAATCCAATGATCCTAAACCTCTGATACTAATCCAATAATCCAAATCCTTTGAGCCAATCCAATGATCCTAACACATGTTACTTACAGTGCAGCATAGAGGGTACTTCTATCTACATAATTCTCCACTCCTTGATTATAGTACTGGGATAAGGTCACACCGGAATCAATATGGCCAAGACGTGCAGCTTTGTAGAAATAATCAAAAGCTCTTTTCTAAAAATGCAAATAGTATTATTACAAAAACACATGAATGTCAACTGAGAGGTTCACAATGTACCATTTCAACTGCTGTTCACAGCTGTAATGATCAGGGGAATATTATAAACACTTTCAAGATGAATGAAAAATAACACCCAAATATTGTTTTGTAGATATATGAAACCTACTAAATTGACAAATCTTTGAAATCCCAATGAAAATACTTAACCTAGAACAATATAACACGAATGACTACTTGTCTAGAGGAATTTAAACCTGTCTGAGAACAGTTATATTATTCAATTTTCTTGTTGATATTTGCTTTATTCAATCACATAAATGCCACTAATGCAATGCATCATGGGATGTCACATGACAATATATCACACATGGTAAAATCACATGACCTCCAATATCACATGATCTGTCACCTGATTGACTTGTTGTCCAGGGTATTTCCCACTGTTATACAAATGTCCTAAGTTGAATGCAGCATCTCTGTTCTGTAGCTTATCTGCTTTCTCCCAGTACTCTACTGCTTTAACAACATTGTTTTCAAAATTGGCTGCATACCATCCAAGTGCTGTGATTGCTGGTGCGTGTCCCTTTAAATAAAAGTATAACCTTTCAATACACTGATTTGAAATTGACACCTCCCATCACAAGTATTGGGTACAGATGAATAAATACAACAGCAAACCAAATAAATAGTATCTTTTTTTATTTTAAAGATTGATTGACACATATCACATGCATAACAAAATTTAAAAAA